TTCAAGCTCTGTTCTTAGACTACACCATGCACTGCTTTTGTAATGCAAATAGCAGGCACAAAGTGTCCCTTTGATAATGTGCAGTCAGGAGACAAAAAAAGCATTCACTGCAACAGTAAAACTAATTCATAAAGCTGAGAGACAATAGGAAAGCATTATGGATATTAAAAAAATAGTAATTTCTCATAGATCAACTTGATGACTAATGTAAACAGTTCAAATACAAACCAGAGGGAGGTAAGGGAAGGGGAGAGACCCAAATGCCTGTGCTGCCACCTTAGCTAACCCTGGACAAGTTTGGGTAAAGCAAGAATTTAGAGTTCAGCATAAAATCAATGTGCAGTTTGTCACTGGAGATCTGAACCTCAGGTTTTATTCCAAATATTGAGTTAGGCTGGATTTCTCTTCAGAAGCAAGAAAATCATAGTGTTGGGGTTTTATTTTCCTTTTTATTTTGATGTTTGAAAACAGTTAATAAACACTTTTGAGGGCATAAATTTTAGGGGAGTAGTTTCTCTGCATCGCCTACCAGAGTTTAGCTCAAGGTCATGTCACCTTGGTGCATTACACTGTCTGGAGGAGTCAGAGGACTGAAGGAAGGGGATAAAAGGACTTCTGAAAAGTTTCTCCTGGTGTGGTCAGACAAGCGACGGCGCTGCCATGATAAGGGTGATGCTGGACGGTTGCCACGACCTCCTTCTAACATAGAATGCAACCTTTTGCTTGGGGATTGCTTTGGCCTCCTTGCTGTGGTAGGGCATGGTGGCAGTTTGGTGCCGTGAGGAATTAGGAATCTGGGGGGTGAGAAGGGGCAGGTTTGCCTCCCGTTATCTCAGCTGTAAACTTTGGGCAGGATTAGTTTCCTACTTTTCTCCCACCATTGCAGTGCACTGCTATGACAGAAAGGGAGGGAGGGAGTGTTATTGATACTGGGTTACAGATAAGACAAAGTCTGTCGCTGTCCTGGCATCCAGCATTTGCCACCGGGGGTGGAAAATTTGAGGAAAAGAGTGCATTTGGACAAGGTAGGGCATTAAGAGACAAACTTGTAGCTTTCCATCCGTACCTACTGGAGGCTTTACCCACTGTCTTTAGTCAAAGGTGATTAAAAAAAGGCTTATTATTTCTTTTGCTAAAAATGCTCTCAGCTGCGTTAAAAAGAGGCTTCTATTAAGACTACTGCTTGCTAAATACCATTCATAAAACAGTGATGAGAAAACATGATGGAAAGTTAAATTTTTCTCTCTGTCACTTTGATTTCTTTGTTACTGCTAAAACGACTGCTCTGACTCATATTTTGCATAGTTATTTTTACCTTTTCAAATGTTCCTTAACTGTTCATATTACCCTGGGCAAATCCCCCAGGGATAATTTTCATTTGCATGCAGACTTTGATGGTGTTATTAAGCAATCACTTTCTGTACTAAGTCATTATTAAAAGTAATACCACAGAGCCTCAAAAACACATTAATGGTGCCAAACAATCTGCATTTCAGTGCTAGATTTATGGAAAGGGAAAAGCACAAGGTCTCATATCATTCAGTGGATGTTGCTCTATAGTGCTGTAGCAGCAGTAGCAGGCATGATCAGAAAATATTGGAGCAAATTCAGAGCCCTTATCTATTGTCAGCCTTATTCGCTCCTTTTTTTTTCCTAACCTGCCCTCTTCCTGCTTGTTTTTCCCCTTGGATTTGCCCTTTTCCTCTGGCCTTGGCAAGAAAGCCTGTCTGCAGTGTGCATAAGCTGGGCTGGTTCTGGGAAGGAGGGTCAGCCTTCCCATCTGTAATCACTGTTTTATGGCTTTCACTTGAGGTGTTAATGCAGATCAAATGGAAAACACTCCAGCATGAGTGTTACAGCCTCTCGTGCTGCCCCGCGTATGGTCCCAATCGTTAATTCTGATTATAAGACCTAAAGGTAATTCTGTTTGCTCTCCTAATGCATTGCAGCTCTCCCGGTGGTCTAGCGTCTCTTTTCTCCAATTCCCATCTTGATCAATTGTTTGCAAATAATTAAGCTTTTAAGAGATAATGGTAGGAGCTAATGTACACAACAAAGTGAAGGTCTCAAGTCACTGTTTATTGAACAGTTTGCTTTGATATCCCAAAGTGAACCAGAGCTATAGGTGGACTTGTCAACTGCAGTCAGTGCGGTGTTTTTAGCCATACTTCCATATTTATTTGTATATTTCATAGACTTGTAGAATATCTCAAATTAGAAGGGACCTGTAAGGATCAAATCCAACTTTCTGCTTCTCACAGGACTACCTTAAACTAAACCATTTGACTAAGATATATAGAGAGATATATTTGTATATATATTTTGAACGTATTCATGCAAGTATTATATACATATATACACTAATATATATACCCATATCTATCTTCATGTTTCTTTATCTCTGTAAACAACCATCAGAGAGCTTTCAGAAGGCACCTGTCATTCTTGCATTGGTGGAATAAAGACCAACAGCAACAGTTTCAATTGAATTTCCTATTTCTTCATAAAATGGCAGTTCTCAGGGTTTCCCCCTTTCTCTCTGTTGCAACGTGATGTCTGCCTTTGCCTGTAGCACAGGCCTTCCGAGCCCTGTGGGTGAGAATGCAACAAGGCTTTGAATGTTTTTATAGCAACCTAGCCTGTGGCACGATGATTCTTTGTCAAGTCATTTTTATTATTTTATTTTAGTTTATTTTTAGCCTACAAAGGAACAACTCGTACAATCCGCAGAAATCTTATATAATAAGGATGCCTAGTGTTTAAGATTATTTTAAACCACACCAAATCACAGTTAAAAAGCCTGCCGCATTGTGAACCTTTAGCTAAGAGGGATTAGCTATGTGAAATCTCAGGCTGTCATGTGATTATGGCAATTACAGATTTATCATGAAATTAAAAGTTTATGCTGTACTAGGATATGAAAAAAAGTCAGATGACCTTAAACATACTGCAATTTGAGGAATTTGGGGTTTGGGACTTTTAAAGCAATTATTTTTACAGTGACTGTATTATTCTGTGGACTAATTTTATCCAGTCTTGTCTATTTGGAAAAAAGTCCAGAACAATTGAAAATTGCTTAATGGAGACAGACTTCTCAATTCCAATAGCTGGAGGCTGTCTAGTAATTATTGCTTGCTGCATGAAATTAGACATAGTTTGTTCAATTACTTAAAATTAGATCACATGTAAGGTGGCAAAGCAGTATAAGAAAAAAAAGAATAATTTTGTCCTTGCTTCATAGCAGAGTAATGAAATGGGAAGTAAGCTGTAAAGATGAAAATGTTATAAATCATCTCTGTAGGGTTGGGGTTTTTTTTTGAAGGGAAGCAAAATGTTATGTTCAGATAGATGGACATAAGTCAAGTGTGACTGTTTGTTGTGGATGAATGTGTATAGAAGGCAGACAGTAAAATTCATGCTATATTTTTGCATGTGTAAAATGCAAATTACCCATAAAAAAGAAGTAAAATCCCCTTCTCTATCTCCAACTTTGCAATTCTGGAGCTGTTTCATGTATACACAGAAAATACAGGGGGTGTTTTACAGGTGTGCAAGTTATCTGTGGGCTTCTTGTCAAGAAAGCAGTATTTTGAAAAGAATTGAAAATTCCCTATCACTTGGGGGTGAAAAAATCAAAAAAGTGTCTTGTGGAGCTGATGGCCATAGTGGTGGGCTTTGAAATGGGCACATTGAGTTAAGGGAAGTTCCTGGAGTTACAACAAATATTCCTTGTTGGTAATGTGAAGGGATATAGGCCTATAATATAGCCATGGGATGTCAGACTGTGCTGTTTACAAGAATATATAAAATCTGCTAAACAGTTACAATACCAATAAGATTGTGGAATTTTATGAGGTTACACTTTACAAGGTTTCAGTTTATGTCTCATGCAATATTATACTGAAGAATACATCCAGAGAATATGGGAACGTTTTGGGGGAAAGGAAAAAAAGGGATGAGTGTGTAACAGCAAATACTTTGTCACAGCCAACTGCTAAGTGGCGTTGGGATAGGTCTAACCAGTTATAAGAAATTATCTTTATTGAAATGCTGTTAAGCACCTTGCAGCAGATCAAGTCTGAATCTGATGTGTACGGAGACTTGGGTGTTCAGGTTAGAAGCTGAACCAGGTTCTTAAAACAGGACTTTTCCTTGAAATTGTTGCATTTACTATATTTGTACATTTCCTTTTGGAACAGTGACATTTTTGCATGGAAGAAAAGGACAGAAATTACATATCTACATTTCAAACTTGACTGTGGTTTTCACAGTTGATTCATTAAGCATTCTGTATTAATGCAGAAGCAAATATTCTGAGAAAGCAATCAAATTCTCACAAGAAACTTTACTTATGATTGAATTTTTACATTATCTTCAATTAAAGCAGTATTTATTTTCTGTCTCTTAGGATTAGTGCAGCACAGCTATGTTAATGTCGGGCAAAAATGTGCTGATTGTTGACCTTGCATTGGCCTGTGTTCAAAACCCGGGCGTTTGTTTATGTTCAGGATGCTGATCTTATTTGCAAATTATTTTGGGGCACTGGCAAGTTTCGCCTTCACTATCTCAGAAAACATCAGTGTGTTTTCGTTTTACAGAGAAGTGCTTTATGACATTCTTTATTTTCTGTGAAATGCCAAAAAAAAAAGAAGAAAAAAAGATTATTTGACTCTAATTGATCATTTGAGGCAAGTACAAAAACTTTCAGCTAATGCAACAAATATCCTTCTTGAGTATCAAGGTACTGTCAGTAACCTAAGCAGTTATTTCTTCACTTCACTAATCTTTATAATTGGCTTGTCTTTTACTGCCATTAATTAAGTGATGTAGTAGCCCATTAATAATTATAAAAGAGTGACACACCTCAGCATTTTCACCTTTCAATAATAGATGTCATGCTTCTGTTTTGTTTTGTGGGGTTTTTTTTCTAATTTAAAATAAAAAGTAGTCCAAAAAAGCGCATTGCTTTAAATGTATATATTTATTTTGGTGTCTTATAGCACCCTTACCCTTCAGAAGAACAGAAAAAGCAGTTGGCACAAGACACGGGACTCACTATACTTCAAGTGAACAATTGGTAAGTAATTTTCCTTAGTGTTTCTATATGGTTGCTGGCATCCTTCACCTAACACTTTGCATTTTTGGTGGCACACTTTGCTCTTTTTATTTGCCCCCTCCCCCAACAGTTTATTGATGCAAAAGGGATAGAGCCAAGTGAGTGGTTTCAGGTATAGGAACTAGGAGGTTTGCTACTGTTTTATTTTGCCATCACTTAGGGTGATTTCAGTGTATTCACATTTGGGTACCCGTCCCTCCTTCTGGCTGAGGATGTGTGTTCTTCATTAGGATGGCACATCCACTTGCGGAGCTTTGGTCTTGGAAGAGGTTCAAATGTTGGGTGAAACAAAGGGGCAATTGGCCCCATTTTTGCCCAGCATACTGTTACTTGGGGATGCTGTTATGCTTCTTTTAATGTTGTTAGTGGTGTTTTTCCTTTTTGACTGACATCCTTATGTCTCTTTACTGGTTTGTTTTTGGAAGCTTGGTCCAGTTTTTGGAAGCTTGAATAAGCTTTGAGGTAATCTGGTTCTTTGCTGCTGAAGTACAGTGTGAAGCAATTTTATTTATTTGTTCCAACTAAGGGTTGGTGGAGCCCCTGATCTATTATAATAGCAATTTGTTTGAAGGAAATCAAGATCCATGCTATTTCTCCAGTGGATTTTGGATTGCTAACTGTCCAGGATGTGATGGAGGCAACCAGTGAAAATTACTCGTGATTTAAGTATCACACAACTGCAAACCTTTAAAAAAAAGACAAGTTTGATTTATTACCCTTTGATACTGTATCAAAATGTAGGTTCCTCCCACTATCCCAGAACAAGTGTCATATTTGAAGTGTACTGCAATCTAATACCTTGTAAAACTAAGTGTATCTAATTAATTGTTCTAATATTTTTAGATTAGTGTTTATGATGGGAAACCTTATCCTCTTTGAAGTAATACCCAGAAAATGGCCAAGGCAAATGGCAAGCCTGCTGGGGAAAAGGGAGGGAGGAATGCCAGTTTGCAGACAAAAGTTGGGGTTTTTTTTCTGTTCAATAAGTGTCAGAGATTAATATTACTGAAGCTCTGATTACATGGCCTAATCCATTTTAGTGAATAAATTTGGTCTTGATGTCCATTGCACCTACATTAACAAACCCTCCTCTCTTAGAGAGAGTAGGAGCCTATGGGAGAGATTTCAGATATATTAAACCCCATTACAGAAAATGTAATTTCTGTCAATATAATCCCGTGTATTCTTCAATTTAGTACTTTAGAGATAACAAGCTACTTACAATATATTTGCCTTTGGAGGATTAATTTACAAAGTGCACTATCTGAGAGACGCAGGCGGGCTCACATAAGCATAGCTTGTAAGGGTTATCAATTTCTGTGACCCCACAGCAGCCCTGGGAGATCAATTTTTTGAAGCCCTTTAAGATGCTGAATAAAGGAAAATACCTAATACTTAGTGTATATGTAGTATGCTTCCAAGATACTTACTTTAAAATGGAGGAATAAAAGGCACTAAAAATAACATTTATGTGTTACAAGGTAGCACAACCCACAGTATTTTGGCTCAGACAGAAAACATTAGGGTTTCCTTCAGCTTACATCCTCCAACCTTCAGCCAGGCATTACCCTAATTTACATGGTTGTCCTTCAGTTTAATGGTGTGCTGCTTCTTCAGGGTCCAGCAGTGTAAGATTTGGCATGAACAAGTGTGTCAGTTTAGGATGGTCTATCAAAGACATTTTCCAAGATGATGAACAGGGGATGCTTTGAACTAAAGCTGGTGAAATTTCTTCCAAGGGACTTTACAGGGTGTTTTGCAGTACCCATCTCACCTTGAACATGAGGAGTTTTTACTTTGGCTTTGTGTCAGGTGTGTCCTTACGAGTTCCTTAGGCGCAAGGGAAAAAAAAAGGAGGTCAAAATACATTATAGCCAACTGAAGTCTTGTGGATGTAGGGCAGACTTCCTCTGCTTGAGCTAGTTCAGTAATTCTGCTGTGGTGTTACAATTGTATAAATTATTGAGACAATTCCCCTTCTTTCCTCAGTATTTAACACTACAGAGGCAGTCAGGCTTTCTTAAATCACAAGTGGTGGGCACAGATGCCAAAACATGGCAATTCAGCCCCTCCTTTTTGCAATGGATGCTAAGTAACGAGACTGTGAAGCTGTTGTTAAGTGTGCAGGTTGCACGGGAAATACCCAGCCATGAGGTGACCAGTGAGTGCCTCATCTCCTCCTAAATCCTCAGGGGTATGGGGCAACCCTCTCGAACCTTTTACTGAATCCCAGTGGAAGAAACTCTTCTTACCTAAACATTTTGCTGCAGGAAAGAGCTAACATATCATTTCCGGTTAGTTTTGCCTTTCTTCAACATGCTCATAAGTCATTCAGCCATGACTCGCAAAAAAATTTTGCCTTCCTCCTTAGATTCTTCCAAACTTGTTAACACACATGTACATTTTTGTATTAATGATGAGTCATTGTAAATCACTGTTGCAGAGATTAAATAAAATGCTGAAGGGCAGGCTGGGTGCAGATCAGTCATAAATTATTGGCAGCAACACAGCATGTGGGAATACATGAAATGTGCATGAAAAACATAAACTCATGTCTGGTAGCATGGTCGTTAGCCCAGACTGGGAATGTTGGATTTTCTGGCTGGAATTAGAAGTTTGCCACAGAGCAGTCAGTGAAGAGAGCATTTGTTTCCTGCAGATTGAAAGCATTCGAACAATTTTTTTTGTCATATTTTGAATGCCTTTACGGTATGTGCTGGTTGCATACTTAAGTTCTCTGCCGTAACGAAAAAAACGGTGCTTTTCACATATGGGCTGCCCAGTGTTGGGGCTCCCCGGGCTGATGCACACAACTCCTATTGATGGTGGAGGAGTCACAGGAATGGGGTGATGATGTGAGACGTGCCAGAAAATGTATCCGTGGTAGGGCATATGTCTTTAAAAATACCACAGTCTTAACATGACCGTTTTCCTTGGGTTGTTTTAGTTTTTTTAGGTAATGAAATAATCCACTTGTTGGGTTTTTCCTTTTTTTTTTTTTTCCCCACTTCTCTTGTGAATCACTGGCATTGCCTTTTAGGACAATCTTTTTACCTCAGTTGGATGTTTCTGTTCTGGAAAGAGGGAACCCTTACACTGATGCAAAATAAAAATTAATCTATGGCAGGTAGGAAGGTATGAGAGTTGAAGATGTTGTTAGTCTAAATGAACCATTCAGGTCTCCGTTGTGTTAGTTGTTTAACTCCATAGCAGTTTAGGATTGGAAAAATGGTAACATGAACTAGAAGGGTCACTTGTATGATCTTGACAGCATTGCCTATATGGATATGGAAGAGACCTGACCAAGTACAGGTTAATAAGGTGCTTTTCCCAGGTGATAAAAACTGTGATTGAAATATCCAGGAGGTGTGATCCAATTGCTTCTTACCTCAGTTGAGAGCCAAACAGGTTATATTGAACAATCTATACAGTTCTCTTGTTTACTAGTTCCCAGCTGAATCCCTTCCCATTAAGAACTAATGGTAAATAATTGCTGGTAGTACTCTACAAAGGAGAGAGCAATTCTCATCAAGGATGCATTAGGTGTCAGATACTTGTTTATGTTTTAGAAGAGTCTTGGTACACACAGAAAAATGTTTGTATATTTGTAGAATAATGTGCCTATATAACCTCTCTGTATGTGCGTATCTATATGTGACTCTTTCTCTAAATAGCGTTGTGTACAGCTGCATTAAAATGATCTTAAAAAAAAAAGTTTAAGTTTGAAAATTCAAATCCTTGAATCTGCAGCCTTTATTAGGTGTTTTCATTTTGCTTTTTTCAAAATACCCTTGTGCTATCTAGGGCACAGTCCAGACAATGATGGAGCAGCTAGTCAATATTTTATCTTGCCCTCATTCTTCTGTATTTCTTCTGTTGAGCTGTATTCAGACTGTGCTTGAAGATGTAATTAATAATTACTGCTGGACTTTCCTATGGTGCTTGCTGCTGTAATACCCAAGCCCTTCCCTGACCTCCGTGTGCTTATATATGCATACAAGTTTGTGGGTCTGCATGGTATTTCCACAGTTGACCTGCAAAGAGGGAGAATAGCATTGTCCCAGTTCATAGGGGAAGAAGTGAGGCTCAGGGAGGTCCAGGTCCAGCACAGTCACAAATTTTGGTTTGGTCTGGGACTGTGAGATGCCTCAAAATGACAGCAAGTTATCCACATTTAGGGCCCAACAACTATTGAAATGTCACATTTCAGTGGAAACTCCCAAGTTCTGAGTGCCTTGGTGTCTTAGCTTGCCAACCTGTAGTGTTGGGTATGGAGGAGATATTTGAGAAATCGGTAATTGCTGGTGAAATGTTTGAGTTCTATTATTTACTCAGTAACTCCCAAGCAGTCCAAGAAAGCAGCAGAGCTGAATCCTCTTCTCCAGTTCAGCATTTGGCTGCATCAACCAGGGCTGCTTTGCTTTTCTTGTTGCCTTATTCATTCACTTGGTCAAAGTTTATTTCCTGTAGAAATCAAGTTTTCTACATTATAATGCCCTGACCTGTTCTTCTAACAGACATAATCATCATTGGGGTGCTTGGGGCATTAAGCCCTATCAAAAATGGTGGCATGAACTGGCACCAGTTTGCATATGAAGTAGACTATAGACTAGGGTGAAAGCAGATCGAGTAATATGGTTTCCTAAGTCTTTTATGACCTTGGCTTTTTGATATGTCAATTTTGAGGATAATTTCCTAGGCTTGCAAAAAACCCCAAAACAAACCCAAACCAAATACACTGGAAAAAACCCATCAAATAATGTTAATTTCCCTAATCTCATTCTTGGAGATGGATGAGGTTATTTTTACTGAAACTTTGTAAGAAAGAAATTTTTCAAAGGCTCCAAGACCAGCCTGAAGATGAGTTTGAAAAATCAGGGATGGACTTGGGATAGGAAGACCTGCTTTGCCAGGACATGGGCAGGCAGAGTGGCATGGTGAGGGCAGAGGGATTTTGCACT